TGTACAGCAAAGTGAATCAGTTATACATATACATATACCCACTCTTTTTTAGATTCTTTTCCCATATAGGTCATTACAGAGTACTGAGAAGGGTTCCCTGTGCTATATAGTAGGTCCTTATTAGTTATTTATTTTATATATAGTAGTGTGTATATGTCAATCCCAGTCTCCCAATTTATCCCTCCCCGCTGCCCCGTGGCAATGCTTATTAAATGATAACTAAAGGAATTAGACAGAAGTGTGAACCCAGCAGGATTATAACTCTTTAAATCCATTTTTACGTATGGTTAAAGAGTAGAAGAGGCCACAGTGAGATGTGTTCAGTGACTTATCTTCTGGTAAACTTGGTTTATTTGGCCGCTATTGCTATAGTTAATCATAATAATTGGCACCTATGCTGTACAGTATAGCTCAGGAGGCAAGGCCACTCTGGGCGGGCGTTCTTCAGGTTTGTAGGTGAGTAAACTGAGGTTCAGAGAAGTTGGGGATCCTGCTAACAAATAAGTCGAGTCAGACTGTAGGTCTCGTGATCTTTCAACTGCACCATCTTTACATCTCGTGGTGTAAAGTTGACCAAAGAAAGAGAATTCGAAAATCATTTCTGCACGCAGCAGGAATGTTCAAGGTTGAGGGCATCAAGAGAGGGAGTCCTGAGGTCATGTATGGTGAAGGGAAGAAGGAGAGGAGGTTTCCCAGAGTCAGAACCCAGGAGGAGGTAAGAAGGTTGAGTCTTTTTTTCTCTGTGTTCAGGGTGTGGCTGAGCACAAGGCCAACCCAACCCTCTATGTCAAATCTTGCCTAAGAAATATACAGAAAAGTGTTACTGACCTGAAATATTCCAGATCCTAAAAATACCCAGAACTTCCCTGGGGTTGCCTGAACTTCCATTACTAGAGATGGTTTCATACTAAGGGAGGAGTCTAGACCTAGGATTTCCTAGGATTTGAAATACCACTTTATTATTTGTTAAGACTCCTCATTGGAGATGTTTTCACCACTCTGAAAGCTCTGTTACGGCCCCAAACATGATCTACTTTTTCTTCAAATGGGGAACGTAAGACTAAATATTGCTTGACTGAATGACTATCTCTGGCTATCTTTTCCTATTCAAGGGCATATATTACATATTTTCTAAATTCAGAAGAGTAAGGGTATTTCCCCCATGTCAAAGACATATTGGGGATAATTGTAATTTTTCAAAGACCAAGAGAGGGTGGGGGTGGTGGAGAATCCAAATCTTAGTCTATGGTGATTTTTGCTTTGGAAGAGGCCATCTAGCCCCAAAGCCAGAATGCAACCAGTGAAAGTGGCTTTGAGAGGCAGGCACCTGCTGGAACTTTGGGCAGGCTGCCGCTCATCCCCTTCTCAGATGGTCCTGCTGTTCGGTGATGACGATTTGGGAGCTCGTAATGCTAATGATGTGTAAATGCATTTCAGTTATCTTATTAAGCTGGTCTTTTCAGGTTCATTCTCATTAATATTGATGGTTGAGATATGTTCCTCCAGAGAGTCTGCAAATAGCTCTCCTATTGTTCAGGTAAAATTTATAGCCATTCGGACTAAGGGGAGGCACCAGTGAGTCCAGGCTTGTACTTCTCATAGGAAATGAAAACTTTATCAATGGTTTTGTATGAGTGTGGATCTTTACTCTATAGATCCAGGCATCTCTTAGGTTTTTTTAAATAAGAGTTAATTTACTGTGCTGTTAGGAATCCAAGCGGAATGTGAATGCCTCTGTGCTGGAAGGCAGAGAGGGGTGATACAGATTCCCCAAGATTATATCCTCCTCCATTGTCATTGGCTTTGGCAAGTTCTATACCACAGTCTCGGCCTCTAGCAAAGGGTTACTGTTTCTTCTGGATGCAAAAGTGCAGGCAGGACCACAGCAGAGTTCCCTGCCAAGTGGGATGCAAGGGTCTCCTTGCACAAAAGAGCCCACACAGAGCCCTGGCACTTAAAGCAGCGGCATCTGCACCTGCCAGAGGTTTCCCACTGCTACGTCTCAAATGGGGCTTGAAATTTCTGGCTGGGCCAGGAGGAAGGAAGTGGCTTTACCACTCAGCCATGTGTCTGCTGATGAGCTCTGGGTAGGCTGGGGAACAATGGGGAGATGACAGATTTAGGGATTGGAATCAGATGTTACTTCTGGTACATTTTAAAACAATGAACTAATCTCTACCTCCTCAAAATAGTTTTTTTCTGGAGGGTATGGGGGGGGTCTCACAAGAGCATGAGCCCCCTGATAAGATCATGAGGACCAATTCCAGAGGCTTGACCAGTTCCGTACAAACTGACATACTTGATTCCTGAAAAACACTGGACGCCAGGCTCAGGTGAAATCCTCACCTGTAAAACCAAGGCGTCAGATAGATGATATCGGTGATCCTCTCCCTCAATAGTGCATTTCCTTGCTGCTTGGATTCTAACAAGATGTTGTTTATGATGGAAATTGTCAGCACACATAGAAGCTGTGCCTGGGCGAGTGGGTATTCTGGTACCCAGACCTCACTGGCTGAAGGATGAGGTTGGGTCCATGGTGGTTCGTCTGGTCTCTGAGTCATGACAGAAGGAAGGGGAAGCACTCACCTGTGACCAAGACTGGCTCTTGGGCTGACTTATAATTACAGGCTGCATCTGGGTCCAATCAGGAGGGGCTCAAGGAGGCTGCGGAGCAGATGGTCCTGGGGACTCCAGGGAGAACAAATACAAATCCGATACCACCTAGAGGGGGAGAATAGAACACAGGGGTTCTAGAACCAGCTGAACAGCTCGCGACGTGACAACCAAATGCAATATGTTACCCTTGGTAGACTCCTGGATTAAAAAAAAATCTATAAAGGACACTATTGGGGCCATTGAGGAAATTCGAACATGACTATATTAGATGATATTATTGTATCGATAATAAATTTCTTAAGTAGGAAATTGGGGTTATGGGTGTTATATATATATATAGGGAGGGAGGGAGAGACATGAACCAAATGTTATAAAATATTGAGTTGGTGAATGTGGGTGAAGCTTATGTGGGTGTTCATTCTCTCCTCTTCTGCAACTTTGAAGTTTTTTTTTGTTTGTTTTTTGTTTTTTCGGTACGCGGGCCTCTCACTGTTGTGGCCTCTCCCGTTGCTGAGCACAGGCTCCGGACGCGCAGGCTCAGTAGCCATGGCTCACGGGCCCAGCCGCTCCGCGGCATGTGGGATCCTCCCAGACCAGGGCACAAACCCGTGTCCCCTGCATCGGCAGGCGGACTCTCAACCACTGCGCCACCAGGGAAGCCCAACTGAAGTTTTTTAAAACAAAAAGTGTGGGGAAAATGCTCGAAAGTCTAACACGTGCTATAGTATAGGTTCTCCATCCTGCAATCTCTTTGATGTTTATTCATCTCACTTTTTTAGAAGCACTCACTTCTGCTGTAATTTAAGCTCATTTCCTCATTTGTTCTGTTCTCTCCGGAGATAGAGACAGCATCCTCCTTGTAAATCTAGGGCTCAGCTGGCTTGATGATGTGGGAGAACCCCAGGGCTGTTCCCGGATGGAACTTGTATTTATGTGTGTCTTGGGCTACTCTCCTCACTACCCCAGTAAGACCCACTGTTGAGGAACCGCAGTGGATCTCAGCCTGAAGCCGCACTGCGAATACCTGGAGAGCATTTTCAGTATATTCATGTGGGTCCCACTTTCCAGGGGCACTGAGGTTCGCAGTGGGGTGCTGATGTCTGTTGCGTGGATAGGCTTGACTGTTCGGCTTCAGCCACCGTGGTCCCTTTCAGCCTTGGCCCGTCTCCTCTACCATCACCACGTGGAGAGTGAACCCCTTTCACCTGAGGGATTTGCCTTGGCCCTTCTTCTCTGCTCGGACCACTGTCTGCTTGGGTTGGGCTATTGTAGCCTGCCAGGATGCAAGCTGGTGCCCTGGCAGTGGCAGAACTAAACTTGTCCTGCACCATTCCTCACTCTTGGCTTGTTGTGGAGTTGTGGGAACTTAGGAGGAAGCGTCTGTGGACCCCCATGCAGGGTGACTTGTGTATCCTGACAAGGATCCTCCGGAGAAGGAGAGGACCAAGGCACAAAGGAGGAGAGGGGCTGCAGCTGTATCCATAATGTTTATTTTTTGGATGAGTCTCAACAGCGTTATGCTGAGTAAAAAAAGTCAATCTCCAAAGGCTACGTACTGTAGGATTCCATTTATATAACAACTGTTTTGATATGACAGAATTACAGAAGTGGAGGACAGATTAGTGGGTACCAGCGGTTGGGGGGTTGCTACAAAAGGGTACCACGAGGAGCTCGGGTGGTGATGGAAATGCTCTGTATCTAGGCTGAATCAATGTCCATTTCCTGGTTGTGATATTGTAATATAGTTTTGAAAGATGTTGCCGTGGGGGAAACTGGGTAGAGGGTACACAGGATCTATGTTATTTCTCACAGTTTCACGCGAATCCTCAGTTATCTCAAAATAAAATGCTTAATTAGAGAAAAAAAGAGGTTATAAGGCAAACACGGCAAAAGATTAACATCTATTCTATATGGGTTGTGGAAATCTGTTATATTTGTTCTATCATTTTCATTATTTTCAGAATGTTTGAAATATCTAGTAAAATAAATAAACCCTCTGGAGTTCTCTAGGTAGCTTTTGACGTGTGCATCCTTCCTCAGGACCCACTCCTGGTCCCCTCAGGCTGGTGTGATGGAAGGACAGGCCTGAGGAGTTTCGCAGGGGGCAGCGCTGACCCAACTGAGAACTGCCCTCTTGACTTCTTACCGCCCTCGTTTAAGCTGGGAAAGGACCTATAACTCCTTGAGGGCTGGGACGCCCTGCTTCCCTCCTAGCCCCACTCTGCTCCACTGAAACTCCCTGGCATGTCAGTAAAATGGGCAGAATCACACTTATTCTAATTCTTGGTGGCCAGTACTTCTAGACGAAAAGAACTGTCTCAAGGAAGGCTGTCTTCTCACTAGAATTCTTTGGTTTTGTGTATCGTAAAAAAATGAGGCATACATACCAGAATTTATTTATTATCTAGCTAAATCACAAATTTACAATACATTCGAAACGGACTAAATGAGACATGTAGAAGAGTTTAAATGTAAAAATAGAAAGGAATATCCAAAAGATCATTTAGATTGGATTATAATTTTAGGAATCTTTAAAGAGTGAAGTGTTTCAGCCTGGAGTCCCAGGACAGAACTTGGCCATTGCAGGTCTATTCACATGGATTCTGAATGGCAATCAGAAGATACTCCTTATCTGTGGAGAGATATGGACAAAGTTAATCCACCCTAAACATTAAATTTAATAAATGAATACTTCAGCTAATCTGCTTTTCTCTTCAACACATCACTTGGACCTTGTGTAGACCAGTGGGTTCCCAGCCTGGCTGCACACCAGAATCACCTGTTGAGCTTTCAGAAAATACCATTACCTGGGGCCAAGCCCCAGAGGTTCTGTCTTTATTGGTCTGGGGTGGAGTCCCAGGTATCAGTCTTTTTTTTTTAAGCTCTCCAAGTGATTCCAATGTGCAGCTTGGGTGAGAACACAGGTGTAGGGAAAGCTTTATTTAGTTTGGGGGTAACTCTGATTTTACAGTCGTACTACAGCGAAGTTTGTTCTAGACTAGATTTAGGAACGTGAGTCCTGTTTTACACTGACGTCCACTAAAACTGTGAATGTACCTCCTTCAAGGAAAGAAGTATTTCTGTGGCTGCTGTCTTTTGATAGCCCCAGTGAATGTGCTCTACTCCAGGGAAGGTTTAAGACCCTACAGACCTTTGATCTGCCCTCGACGTTATCCCCTGGACAGGAGACATTTCTCCCACTCTTCAGAAAGTCTGTGTGGTAAGTTCACATAACAGGAAACCTACACCTCCTAAATGGTTTGATTACTAACAACAAAAACAAATGGGCAAAATTCAATGTCTTTACTAATTTCACGGGATTTTCACATTCAAACTTCTTCATTTTGTAATTGAAGAGCATTATGTGTCATATTGCATGTTAAAATCCACACTCCCCGTCTTGGAGACAAAGCTTTTATTCAGTAAAGTAAAAAGATGCCTTAAGTAATGAAAAGAAATGCCAAATTACCTGGAGCTACCATGATTTCATGTTTCTTTGATCTGATTCTAAGAAAAGTTAGGTCGTTCTGAGGATCAATGTCACGGACTGTGCTCTTGGCTTTCATGGTCAGCTGATGAAGAAGACCTGCATATTGAACTGTTGTTGAGTTGTCCAAGGTCGTTCGGATGGGGATGCCTGGTACGAGATTTAATTTGGGGTTAAACATTTTTTATTTTGATTATAAAAGTAATATGTGCATCGTAGAAATACTGGAAAATACTGTAATTGTAAAAAGGAAGAAAAAGTGATGGCTCGTATCACTCAAAGGTAACAATTTTATTTCCTTCCAATCGTTTTGCCATTACGTGGATTTTAAAATTTAGTTGCATCAAACTATAATTACATATTTGACTGTTGCTTTTTTCTTCATTTAAATTATAGCATACAAGCTGTCCTTGTTGACGATGCCATCAACATTATTTTTAATGGCTGTAGACTTAGTATTTTGGGGGATATATCATAATACAATCAACCCCCCACTGTTGGATTGTTAGGTAGTGTGTTTTTGTTTTTGTAGCTAATGGTGATGAACATTTTTGTACACAAGTCTTCTGGAAGTTGTTAATTGATTATTTCAGTACTAAGTTAACATATTACTATACAAAATGCATTCCCCTAAGCATCCTGTCTACGGTGAGTCCACTGTGAAATGCTTGGTCTGTGACATGGTGCTAGTTTCTCCCCTGACGCCAGAAATAGAAAGGGGATATCACTGCACATGCTAGAGGGTGTATCAAAAGGGATTTTCAGAATTTCTTTGTAACTTCCTCATATGGGATTTTGCAAACCTTAATTTTTATGCTAGAAAATACAGCAATGAAGACTCTGCAGTTCGGCTGGGCATTCCCTGGTTTGCACTCACTCTTGGTTTAAGCATGATTAAATTTGGCTACTTGTGTGCTCTGTTGTTTCATTATATGAGTTTAAAACAGAAGCTATTAATTTAACTGGAGAAATCTAGCCAGACGAATATGCAAGTATAATTCAATTCAGTTCATATCAATCCAGCTCCATTCAGGTCACTCAGCGCTTATTATGGAACAGGTGCTGTGCTAGGTATTTTACATATACTATGTCTAATCAGAACTGGCCTTCATGTTATTTTGAAAACTACCAGATCAACCAGGGAATTCCAGGGATCTGATTTGCAGATGTGCCTTGCGTTTAGGGAGACAGATGAAGGTGAATTTGGGATCACTGTCAAGTTCCTCAAGAACCTGAATGAAGGCCAATCAATAAAAAAGGCTGACGTGGCTCTCTTGGGTTTTCCCTCAGAGAATGTAGCTCCAGAAACTGGTAAAGAAGATGAGTGCTTCTAACTTGGGACTTTACCTGTTTTTCATGAAACTTTTTGAGAGCCTCAACTCTGACTTTGAAACAGACTAATTTCTTTTTAAGAAAGCCATTCTCTCCAGAGCAGGTCTTGCCAAAGAAGGCAACAGCAGTATTTACAGGAAAACCTAATTAAGGAAGGTTTTACAGAAAACTTGTTAATTTCTGTATTATTGTTTCTTGGCCACTTTTTCTCCAGAAGTCAGTTCTGTCTTTCACAACTGATGAACCATCACAAGGCATGTGTCTTTAACAAGCAGGAAACTGAAGTATAGCAAGCACTCAACCTTTCAAGGGCACTTGTTGACCAAACAGTTTTATTTTGCATCATGAAGAGCAACTACCTACAAAGTCTGCATTGCTCAGTGTCAAAAAAGAAATACAACCAGAATAAATTATTCAAACTGTAGATGACAGGATTATGAATCAGATACTCAGGCCTACTTAGTCAGTCTATTCATGATCCAAGTCAATAAATAAAAGGGCTAGCCTTTCTGAATGATAAGTGCACACCATGGAAACTCTTGGAGTTTTTCATATCCACTGTAGACCCTTGGAAAAAAAAATCAATCAACAAATATTTATTGAGTTCTTGCTTGAGACTATGTGAGGTAATTAAAAAATAATTTATTAGGAAGTAATTTTAGCACATAGTATAAAATTCACCCACCTCCCCTTCTGAGAGGTAACCACTGTTCTCAGTTTCTTTGGTGTCCTTGCAGAGATATTCTAAGTCTCTTCCAGTATGTTTGTGTTTGTATTCTTTAACTGTATCATTTTCTATTCTGTACCTTAACTTTTTTCATTTAATACACTCGGGAAGTTGTTCCATTCAGTCCGCATAAGGCTAGGTCATTCATGTTAATGTCTGTGTAATGTGACTGTTGAATGGATGCTTTGTAATACATGTAACTAATATATCTTCCTGACAGGCATTTGGGCTGTTCCCAATTTTTGACTTTTATAAACAAGGCTACAGAATATGTCTGTGTGCATGCCATTTCACATTTGTATACATGTGTAGGATAAATTCCTAAAATGTACCTTCTAGAACAAAGAGTATATATTCTATCTTCCTGAACTTATGACACTGCTTTACAATATGACTCATCATGATCCCAGTAAGCTGGTATTCTTCAACTGTACATTTGGTTGATAGATTATATTTCAAAAATAAAAGGAATTGGCTGGATGGCTGATAAAACCTAATGAAACTCAAATGACGGATTGTTAGAAATGTCAAGAATATTTAAAATTAAGAGTCTGCAGAAATCAGGCTTATATACATAAGAATATATGACAGATATGACTGTCTGGGAAACAAATATACATGTTCACCAGTATCTAGTTCTGTGATCAGAACTGCAATACTGTAAACAATGAATTATTTTGTAAATGGGAAACCAGTGTTAACAAAGAATCTAACAAAGACCTATACTCCTCAGCATTGGGCTAAATTGATAAGTCCACTTTATTGTCATGAATTAGAAGTCTATGTTTCAATAATAGTGAAACCAAAGGACACTATTTAACATGGCAGAGGATGAGATCTAAATGGATAAACGTGGGGTAGAAGGCCTACCTAGCCACAATTAAAACCTAAAAATTTGTTAAAATGATTTGCCTAGAACTAGTGGACTAAAGCCATGGGTACAGAACAAGAACACATGAACACCAGCTTAGTTAAATATTGTCAGTGTTACATTTCATGGGACTTCTGAGAGCTGCAAAGCTGCACCGTAATAAATGGTACTTTCATCTAAAATTGACTGGGCTGTTGAGATGGAGTATTTCATTTCATTCTGGTCACACAACTTATACCATATGCTGTTAGTAAACATCCTTGTCATATCCTCTGGTTGTTAATAATCCGACCATAAAAATAAGCCCCTCATTTATATTTTTGGGAAGAAGGTTAATTTGGCTTTCAGAAAAGTGCCCTGAATCCTAACACAACCTCATCCTAGTAGAGGTTAATTAGAAGTTAATGGGTATTAAAAGTAGTATTTTGTTGCCTTTGGATGAGAAGAGTGTTAATTGAGAGACCTCAGGAAAACAAAAGTCATTTTTAATTCTACCACTCAGAGATCATCACCGTAACACAGCCCTGCCTTTTCTTCCATATTTCAGAGTGTATGTCTGCCTGGCCGTATTTAGGATTAGAAGATGCTGGCTACTGCTTCGTCTCCTGCTTTTTTTCATCTAATATTGTGAGTAGTTTTTCATGACTCTAAATATTCTTCAACATTTTAAATAGAGTAATGGTTCACTGAGTAAATATTATATAATAAGTTTAAAAATTTCCCTACTGTTGGGCTTTATGTACTTGTCTGTTTATTTATTGCTATTATATATGGTGCCTCCGTAATATCCTTTGCACCTACATCTTTTCTTCATCACCTCTTAACCAGATTTCTAGGGGTGGAATTACAGATCATAAGGTATGGATATTCTTCAGACATTTGATGCCTATTGCCAGGATTATGTACTTTAGACTAAGTCTTCCAAAGTAACACATTAGATACATTGTCCAGGGTGTCACAGGTGAATGCATCTGGACTGGGTTGAAGAGTGTCCCCTCCAAAATTCAAGCCCACCCTAAACCTCAGAATGTGACATTATTTGGAAATAGAGGCTTTGAAGATGAATTAGGTAAAATGAGGTCATACTGGATCAGTGTGGGACATAATCCAACGACGGGTCCTTATAAGAAGAGAAAACAGAGCACAGAGAGGAGAACGTACACGATGATGGAGGCAGAGACTGGAGTGATGCACCTACAGGCCAGTCAACAGCAAGGATCTCTGGAAATCACCAGAAGCTGGGCGGAGGCAAGGAAGGATCCTCCTGTGGAGCCTCTGAAGAGAGCCTGGACCCACTGACACTTTGATTTCAGTTTCTAGCCTTCCAGAACTGAGAGAAAATAAATGTCTAATCTTTTTTAAGCCACTAAGTGTGTGGTGCTTTGTTATGGCAGCCAAAGAAAACAAATAAAGCATCTCTGTGAAGTCACGCAAGTAACCTATCTTAGGGGATGTGGCAGAGTTTATGCAAATGCCTGAAACTAAAATCAGTTCAACCAGAACCGTGGACTTGGGCTGGACCGCTTCCTGGAAATATGAGGCATAGCTCTTGACTTTCCTGTAGGCTGATGTTAAGTCCTCTCCCTCCTGATCACTCAAGCTGGGTGAATTTATTATATTCATTTGACACTGAGTTTATTAAAATTTTATTTTATTATTTTGTAAAACACATCAAATGTTTTATCTGTACAAATAAATTAAAAATTCCCACATTCACAGAACTATTTAATTACAATTCTGTTAAGTGTTAGGTATTGTGCCAGGCACTTGACAATTATTATTTCACTTAATTGTCACAGTCACCAGTAAAGTAGGTTATTTAGCATTTTTAATGATAAGGGATTGAAGTTTAGAGATTAAACAGACTTTCAGTGGGTAGTTGCTCACTAAATATTTATTGATGGATTTGCTCCAGAATAATGATTAGCTATGAGAGTCTGTTGCCAAGCACTGAGCTGGCGATGTACCAGATCCATGGTTGTACCATGGACTGTGTGAAGTAGCTACTCTTATTTCAACTAGTGCTCTGGGGTTTGTGGCACCTCTTGCCCTTGCAAACGCCTCAATCAGCAATGAAGCCAGCAGAAGCCTTTAAGAGGCTGCCACCATGGCTGAGCATGGAACAGTGTGCCACAGAAAAGGCTTTGGGGATTGTTAATAGGCAAGTCTCTGGTATAAGTCTACAGATTTCATAGGTGGAAACGTATTGGCCCTTCTTAAACTATAACCACAAAGACTATACTATAAATTACATTAAAATTAATTCTCAAAGATTTCATTAACTACGGTAAAGGAACAATGTCTTTTAAAAATGAAGACTGAAACTCTGTACGCTTTACAATGTTAAAACGAAAGCAAACTGCCAACAATGGTATTCTTTCTATCTTCAATATAATAGTTTTATTGATACTCCTGAAATGTTAGAAGAGAGTTACCAAAGCTTTAAAAATTAGACAACGTGCAGCATTTCTTAGGAATATATAGGCGTTTTTAGGCATGTCTTATTAATGTTTATCTCCCTACCTCTTAGCAGAGTTCTTGACATGTAATTAATAGATACTCAATAGATGTATGATGAGTAAATGCTCTGGCTAAAATATACAAGATATACTTTTGATTTAAAATTCCAAGATGTTTGCCTAAGGCTTTACACAACAAACAGGCTCTTGGTCGGCTTCTGCCTGTCAAAAAGGCAGCCTGTGAGGTGTTTACCTTCTGCATTTACAACCATCGTTCCTATAACCCCTTTGTGGCTCTGGATCCTCTTGAGGGTTTCCTCCACCTCTGCCTGGAAGAGATCAGGAAGAAAATTAACCAAAGAGTCTTTGTGGTGACCCCAGTGTTAATTAGAGTAATGTTCTGAAAGACCCCTATTCTCCAATCTCCTGAAACTAAGATTTAGAAGCTCAGATTTTTGGAAGAGAGCTTTGAAATTGTCAGGTCCCATATGCAAGCCTATGTAAGACCCTCTACGTACAACCCTGACAAATATCTTGGCTTGAACTCTTGTTGAGACAGAAAGCTTCTTGCTTCACAAGAGCTCACTCCATTTTTATCTGTCTCTATTTACTGGAAAAGTATCCTATGTTGTTGAACAGAAATCTGCTCCTGGTCATCTTTCATTCATTGATCTTTCTGTATTCAAGTGAAAAATCTCTTTTCTACATTATAGATTTAAAACATATTTATACAGCTATATCACTGCCTCCTTCTGTCTAAAAGCATCACTTAATGAGAAATCATATTCTCAGTCCTAAATGCCACCTAACTGGGAGTTCAGATGGTTAAATTCAAAATATTCTGTAAAAACAGTGTATTCCAGGATTCTACTGGTAACCACAGCCTGGATCTCAGTGCAAGATGAACGTTCAACCATGAATGATTATGTTGGAACCCCACTACCGGGTTTTAAACTCAGCTTTCTGAATCACATGCATAGACTATATATATTGTACCAGTTTCTTGACTTCTCCAAATGCTAAAATCAAGAATAATTTTTTCCAGCCTGCATATTTTCCATAACTGAGTAATCACTGGATATTCTGAATTCAAACAGTATTCTGCAGAGTCTCTTGATGAGGATTTATGATATATTTTTCTTTCCAGCATTGTACAGGTGAACTTTATGTTGCTTTAGTCAAAAGACAGTTTTCTTTTGTCCCTAATATGGGTGGGAGCACTTATTTCCTCTTTCCACCACTATAGCAGGTGTTTTCTAAATTTCAGGCATTCATGTACTAGATTTATAATTTTTGCCATTATGAATACCATCTATATTATTTACCCAGCATATTCTTAAAATTATTTCACTGCTAAAAGCTTAAATGCATTTTAAAAGGAAATTATACATCACTACCACAAATGTAAATCTGGTATCATTTGTCATAGGCAGAAATAACCATAAAAACAAACAAAACAAAGAGAGAACATATTGTTAAATTTTACCCCAATGAAAGCTCTGAGCCTGAGGTCTGCCCTTCAGGTGAAAAATCAAAACTACCAAAGGATAGTGGTATTAACGACCTAACAGTGCCAGAAACTCTCTCCTGGATATAGTCTAAAGGCTGAAAAAAAAAAAAAAAAAAAAAGAGGAATAACTTTCTCTGATGTGATTCACTCTGTGGTTTTTGGTTTTCTGAGCCATCTTGAAGTAGCAACTAACGTCTGCATCTCACGTTGGGAAACATTGAACTTAAAGCCTAATAGCTGTACAGGGATCAATGACTTACTACAGTTTTCTGCCATCTGTAAGACAACGTCCACAGGTCCTTACAACCGCTGCCCTCGTTTTATCTTTTTCTGTTTTACTTCTCTCCCAAACGCCTCTCGCTGATCTTCCCGGCCTTTCCCTCTCTTTTCCCAGGTGTTTTCGCCTTTGGTGATTTTTGAGCCCCCCAATACAGTCTCTTAATTCCCATCGCCAATTCGCTTTTCATTCCTTTCTTAAAAAGAAACTCTGCTTTCACTTTGTTCTTTTTCAAACCTTCCTGTCTCCATTTTCCTTTTCTTCTCCCCCTCCCATTCCTGCTGCCTCTTTATTTTCCTTTCTTCTCTCTCAATAACTCCTTCTCCCCTCTCTCCATTTCCTTGCGTTCCTTGTCCCCTCTCTTTCTTCCCTCTCAGGGTGATTTTTCTCCTCTCCCTCGCGCCGCTCCCCTTTTCAAACTTGCCTCGCCGTCAAGGAGATTTCTCCTTCCCCTCAGGATCTTTCATCCCCTCCCTATCTCTCTTCTCTTTCTCGATACCCTCCCTCCACAAGTATCACCCCTCAGAAGTCACCCCCCCACCCCAGATATCTATGCCCCAAGATAGCTTCCCCCATCTAGACATCTTCTTCCCTCCCTCCACGGTCGCCCTCTGGTCCCTCCAGGGTCTCCGTGTCACTCCCCCAAGAAGCTTCTGGAGACCCCAGCCTTCGCCCCGGCACCGGGAGCGGGACAGCGAAGGTCCCCTGGCGGTCGCTGCCCTTGGAGCGGCGGGTCGCGGACAGAGCCCCCGGATTTACCATCGCGCGGGCGGCGAGACTCTGAGCTCAGTTCGGTGCCACCGCTGCCCGGGATGTCAGCAACGCTGCCAGCCGTTGCTACGAGACAGGGGAGGAAGTGACCTCCCGGAAGCGTGGGTGCCCGCGCCTGCGTGCGCGCGAGTCGGGCCCCTCCGGGCAGACTCTTCCGCCCCGAAGTGGCTTGACGCCTCCCGGCCGCCGTAGGCGGAGGCTGGGGACCGTGGCTCCGAGCGCTCACCTGGGGCGCGCCCGGACCGCGGGCCGCTGGGCATGAGGAGAGCTGAGGGGCTTAGGCCAGGCTCCGGGTCATTCGTTCGTCCTTTCACTCATTCATTCCTTGAGGTACGCGTTCGTGTAACCGCCACTTCCCCGTTCAAGAACGATATATTGACCACCTACCCCGTCCCGTCCCCTGGGCCTGTGGTACATTCTAGCGGGGGAGACAGACGAAATGCGACAAACGAAGCAATACTGTCCAAGTGTGATACGTGCTGTGGAGCAGATAAACCGGGGTGGGTCCTTGTGACTCCGGGGTGATACTGGGTATAGCCTTAGCTGCCCAGTGACCCTCGGAGTATTTCCTGTGGCGCTGCCTTGTGCAGGGGTTTGTTCCCCCCGCCCACCAGGGGCAGTTGTTTTTTTTAATTAAAGAAGAACTATACCGCAGTATGGAATAGTACAATCATGTATATATCCATCAGTTCACATGTCCCCACCTCCCAAACCGTAGGTGCAGCGCCATCTTACGTCTTAGGTTCTCATGTGTTGTAGCACCCCCAAGCCGCTCTTCTCTCAGTTGGAGGGTTGCTGCTTCCTAGCGATTTTGTTTAATCCATCAGGAGCTTTATTTATTTATTTTTTATAAAGTTATTTGCCCACCCTTCTGAGTTGCTGAAAAATTGCTGGAGGTTCTACAAATCGCCGTAGAAGAGCGGTCCACCGGGTGTTTAAGGAACTGATGGAGGAGACAAGTGAAAGATCAATTAGGGATGGTTAGAAGTCCCTTGATCTTTTGAAGGGCATTGGATATATCTTTGTAGTCTGGGAAGAAGAAACCAACTGCGTGTGAGGGACAGTAGGAAAATTTTGTGGTTGGGGTCGTCCTGAAGACCAGGGGTTTGAAGAGGGCTTTGATGACTAAACTCTAAGTACTAAATGCAAGTGGTGACGGGGGGGGATGCATCTCCGTAGGGGCGATGCTATAGCGACTCCCGATAATACTGATTCAGTTTGTGCTTCTATTTCCAGTAAGCAGCCTCACAGCAAACAAGGCATGCTTATTGCTAGGAACGTCAGCTAGAATCTGAATAGGTCCTTGTCAGGGATGCTCTAGAAGAATTTCAGACTTGGTCGTTCGGGACTAGATGATCCATTTCAACTTGGAGTTTTATCATTTTATGATGTTATGTGCAGAAACACTCTCAGAAGCTCTAGTTCTGCTGAATTTTTTTTTTTTTTTTTGGTGGAGGAGGTGATCCTGGTCACTGTCATTTCCCCCCCTCTTTTTTCTTTCAGAAACTTATGCTTCTCAAAAAAGACAAGTCACAATAGCTAACTCATGCCCATTGTCACTCAACACTTGGAACTCCAACCGAGATGATTAGGAATGGGCAACTAAGATTCTGGGGGAGGAGTCTGTGGGGGGTGTGTGTGTGTGTGTGTGAGATCCAGCTCTGCACTGATTGCTTATACCGCTTTTCAGTGATAAAAGTGTAGGCATTTACAGCAATACTGGCTGAATTGTATAAATACAGATTCTTGGGCTCTCTGGGTGTATCAGACCTAGGAGATTGCTACTTGATTGTGCAGCCATTTGTTTTGCTTCTAAAAATTAGTGGCAGTGCACCGTGTTATCTCTGATGTCAGTCAGCTCTAATGAAGGAACTGACTGCATATGCATGGGGTGTGAATCCCCTCGTTTCTGGAGTCAGGATGTCAAACTCATTCAATAGCTGACAGCTGTGATTAGAGCAAAGAAAGATTCCAGCATGAAAGGCACTGACAGGAGTAGCCAACTGCAGAAAAAGTAATAAGGAGTACCCCAAATGACTTCCAATCAACAGTCAAGTTTGACTCACTGTGCACAGGAAATCAATGAGGAGAATATGAGCCATTTTCTCTTTATCAATTTTCACTTCTAATTATTCCTTGGAGGTAGCTTGGTTTAGCTTTTATACATTTTGGGGGACTATAGTGAATATCCGGAGCTGTGCTGTATAAAGTATCTTGGCAGCAGCGTCTGTCATGTTTCCTACCCCATCCTCAGTACATGGGAACCCCTCTTTCCCTTTTCTCTTCTCCCATCCATCCCCTCACCACTTCTTTTGACCCACAGTAAGTGCTAAGTAACTTTGAAATAAAGAGAAAGAATTAGTGAATAATACTTTTTGCAAGTACTCTGAAGTGACCCCCAAACTTGTGGTCCATGTGAAGATAGTCTACTATTCTTCACATATAATTTTGTCAAAGAGAGATGATTGTCTTCTGGGGTCTATCTCTTTGATAATTTGTTTCTGTTCTCTGCTTAATCTGAAGAAATCCAGGTGACTTCATGAGCTAGAGTTTTCTCTTGGGGTTTTCTGTACCACTCCATATAGAAAGTGGCATTCCTGCTAGTTGGCAAATACTAATACTGAGCCATGGAATATATTTTGTGCCCATTTTCTCATAAGATAAGGCATCATTTGTCAACTTAAACAGAACTTCTAGTGTTCTACTGGTTTTGCTTAAAAAAGTGTACACTAGATTCTTTGAAAATATCTCTTAATACTGAGGCAGAATCAGAACATGTCAGTGATGTCAGTATTACACACAACTGACCCAGTACCATAGAGTTACAGAACTGCAGATTTAGGGTTTCAGAAGATCAACTATTTTCTACTTCTTATTAGGACAAAGGCATCCTCTAGGGTAATTGTTTCCAGGACTGAAGTGTAACGTAAGCATTTACTTCCCATAAGGGAATCTTTGTTGAGCACAGAATTTGGATTTACATGCAGGTAGGGTTGATGTTTCTAGGTGTGTCTGTGTGAGTAAAATAAGTTCTCAGGGCTTCTCTTTACTTATTTATAAAATAGGAAAGACAGTATCTACCTTACAGAGTTGATGTGAGGTGTCAGAATGCTTGGTTTGTGTCAGGTGCCCAATATGGATCATTTAACCACATTTCTTTCTTGTGTCATTTCTTTCTATTGTATGTCCTTCTCTTTTCCTCCTTACTTCCTTCCCATTTCTTTCCTCTCTTCTTTCTTGACTACCTTCTCTTCAACCTCCGTTTCCTTCATGCACTCCCTACGAAAAAATCCTGAATTTGTATTATTGACTTTCCCCCTGAAGAACGTCTTTCCCTTTGTTTTCTTATTCCCCTTCCCAAGTTCTTCAATTAGAACGTTCATCTAATGTAATCCATCTACCTGTCATCTCATTTTTTCACAATTCCCAGTTTTAAACTTCTAGCTCCAGCAATCAGTTCCCATCTCTGTGCATTGCACTCAGTAGATATTCTCAGTGTCCTGGGGCTGAGGGAACACTGTTTTATTTCCTGGTCTATTAGTTTTGTTCAAAGAAGAAAGGACTGAAGGGAGCAATAAGGAAGCCATGCTCTTTATTCCTGATAATTCAGTCCCAAGGTCTTTGATATACTCATGTATATATTTTTCAAGCTCTCTGATCTACTTAGTTTCAGAATTACTTTCATTGGTAAGTATAACACAGAAAACAGGTGCACAAAAACAAAAGTTAGTTGGTGAGTTACTAACAAAGGCCAGGTGCATAAAAGAAAACATACAGTCAGTGAGTTACCACAAAGTGAACTCCCGTGTAACCCCCAACCAGGCCAGTAAATAGAACACTTCCAGAAGCTTCCACATGGCCATTCCCAATCATTACCCCCACGTTGTATGGCCTGAAAAGCCTAAAATATTTACTATCTGGACCTTTACTGAAAAAACTTTCTGATCTCTGTAATAGACTGTTTTTCCTCTCTTGAGTCTTCAAAATATGTTTAATGGTTGAAAACAAAACATTGTTCAAAGTACGTAAATGTAATGTGTAAAATAACCACAACATAAAGTGGGGAGGCTAAAGGGATGTATTCTTACATTCTACTTGAAGCGTTCAAGTATTGATTCTAAGTAGACTCTGAAGTGAGGTGTATAATCCCTAGAGCAACCAATAAAAAAAGTATACAAACAGATATAGTAAAATAGCATAATAGATGAATTACTAAAAATTGTTCAAATAATCTAAAAGAGAAAAGGGCAAACAGTGGAATGGAAAACAAATGGAGCAGTCAGAAAACAAATGATATCATTGTAGAACTAAATTCTGATATATCAACGATTACATACCAGTTAATGGAGAGATTGTCAGAATTCTTCAAAAAATGACCAGTGATTTCTACTTTTGGAAAGATGGAATAGATGTACCTTTCCCTTTTCTTCCCATGGGATATAACTGAAAATCCTGGAAATTATATGTACAAACACAAGAAGACTTTG